CCGACTGGTGGTCTTGTCTGGAGTTAAGGGACAGCCTCGTGTCAGCCCAGGCCACACCACACCGCATCCATGGGCACGCAGACCGCCTTGGGCAGTGGCATGGGACTCACTGCACTGAGCTTTTCTTTTTTTAATGTGGTAAGATACGTGTAACATGGAATTTGTCATCTTAACCATCTTTAAGTGTACAGTTCAGTAGTAAGTCCAGTCACACTGTTGTGCAACCATTCGTGTCCATTACTCTCCATTTTGCAAAACTGAAACTGTACCACTTAAACAATAACTCCCCATTTTCCCCCTCCCTCAGCTCCTGGCTGTGACCATTTTACCTGTCTCTGTGAATTTGACAACTGGGTACTTCATATATGTAGAATTATGCAGTATTTGTCTTTTTATGACTGGCTGATTTCACTGAGCATAATGTCAGAGTTCATCCATATTGTAGCAGATGTCAGAATTTCCTTCTAAGACTGAAGAATACTCTATTGTATGGATAGACCACATTTTGTTTATCTGTTTACCTGTCTGTGGATACTTGAGTTGCAACCACCTTTTGGCTATTGTGAATAATGCTGCTATGAACATGGGTGTCCAAATATCTTCTGAGGTGTTGTTTTCCATTGGTATATACCCCAAAGTGGAATTGCTGCATCATCATTAGAGTTTTTTGAGTGTGTGAACCATGTCCCTTTTCATTTTTGTGCGTGTTTCCTTCTGGTATGAGTGGTGTTTTCTATTTATATATATAGAGAGAGAGAGAGAGAGATTGTGTATTTGAAATTTTATTTAAAATTATATATTTGAATTTATTTTTATTTGAAACTGTATATATAGATCATTTGAATTACTTTTATTTGAAATTTGTTTTCTGGTGTGTGGAATGTGTGCTAATCTTCCTCTGCTTGCTGATGTTGCAAATAGCTTCTATATTAAATAGTAACATTCTTCAGCCAGATTTTAAATGATCAGATTGCAGTACAGTGCAAAAGGATAGTCAGCAAGAAAAAGACACTTTGTATTTTTAGTCACATTTTGTATTTTGTCAACCATTGATTTATTTATTCGTTCCGTATTTACTGAGTGCTAGCCATGTGCCAGCCATTGCACCAAGTGCCAGGAATACTAACTAGATTCTTGACCTCCCAGCAGTCAAAGTGTAGTGAGAGAAGCATGCAGGAAATTAGAATTATAAAACCAGTGTGATTTGAGAAAGGGTTTCTAAAAGTGCTGTGGGACCACAGAGGAGGGGATGATGTAGACTACTCAGAGAAGTCTGTGGTGACTTCACCAAGGACGGGTGTTGATGCAAAATGAACAAACCTTTTAGAATGTCTGCGGGGGCGGGAAGGAAGAGAGTTTTATTCGAGTCCAAGTGAGGACAGCTGCCCAGGATACACAATGTTCACGAAGAAGAGAGTGCTTCCCCTAAAGGATCATTTGAGGTAGGGTTACATACATTTTATATACATAAGGGGTTACAACATTTTTAAAAAGTTACAAATTATTAGACAAAGAACTTTTCAGGAAGTTGCGGCCCTTATTTTAAGTTTCCAGTATATGCAGGGCTCTATGACTTTAACCTCTTGGGAACCAGGGAAGTTTCTTACTTTCTCTTATCTTTTGTGTTCAGAATGCACGTTTTTGGTTATTTTCAACAAAGCAGATACACAGTGTATGCTCAGGGCAGAAAGAGAGCGTATGCTCTGGGGTGTTGCTGAGTCATTTTGACCTTGGTAAATGTTAAAGCAGAGCTTCCCTGGGAGCCCAGGAGCAGGACCCACAAATATTAAAAGTTGAAAATTTCCTTTATTTGGGGACATTTATCTTGGGTATTGAAGGATGAATTGGAGTTTGTCAAAAGGATTAGAAGGGCATTGGAGACTGAGGGAAAATCATGTGCAAAAGCAGATGTTCAGAAAATGGCCAAAAACAGTGACCAGAATGCAGAATGTGCATTTTGGGGAGAGACAGGAAGAATGATGATCATTGCCGCTTCGGAGGGGAGATAGAAGACAGGTTCATCAGTACTGGTTATTTTTATACCACATGTGGTAGAGCATGATTTCATTTAATTAATAAGTCATTTGCTTTATTTTTTGAGATTAACCCAATCAGTAGTGCAGGTCCACAAGGTCAGATTAATCCAAGTGTGAGATGGTAGGAGCTTAAATGAAGGCTGTAGCAATTGAAGTAGGGAGAAAGCACATTTTTAAAAAGCATTTCTAAAATAAAAGTGTCATGAGCACACTGTGAAGGCACACACGAGTTGTCTTTCCAGTGTCAGCCTTATTCAGTCCTAAAGCAAAGTTAACATAATTATAGAGCAGGTTCAGGATTCCAAACTCAGTGACATTTCACCACGTGGTTAACTTGGCTTCTTACATGGCACACAGAGCAGGACAGAAGATAAGCCATACAACAAAGAAGATAACACAGGGGGGCAGAAAGTGAAGGAACCAAACACGTAGTCAGTCTATGGGCGCGTAGTTGAGATAAGGTGTCAGTCCAGGCCAGGTCGGCTCTCGGCACTCACTTTTTCTGATATTCAAGCAGTGGAGGATCTCAGTTCTGTTCAGAGATTCATCGGGCACAGCTTTTGGCAACAGGTGCCTTTTTTAAGTGGTTAGACATAGAGGGGTCATGTCTGCGGAGTCTGACTGTTTGCTGCAAAAGCCCTCTCTTTTTAAAGGGATCGAATCACTCCTGGGCCCCCGCAGACTTCTCTGCTTCTGCTTGTTATAAGTTCTGGGGTGTCATCAGTTGATGCTGGTCTCGGCGATATCTGGTAGCTCTGGTATGCCTAACTGCCTGTATCACCACTTGACACAGGCCCCTGCTTTACATGAGTGCCTCCATCTTGCTCTCTACAAAAAGCAATAGGACTTGGAGATGGACTCCTCTTCAAGTGAGGAGAAAGCAAAATTAACCACATCCTTGCGTCGTCTCACTTGGGAGGCTGGGGGGATGGTGATGCCAGAAAGATTATGAATGATGGATGGGGAATAATTTGTAGGGAAGTATAGGGAGCACATAAGGAAATAAATAAAAAAATTTTTTACAACTTTTCCCCTAATTTAATTTTTTTTAAATATTTTATTTATTTATTTGACAGAGACA